AGGGCATGTAGAGGGTGTGTTTGATAAAACCAGCTCAGAAAAAAAGATCGGCAAAAGAGGAAGATTTCACAAACATTACATTATATGCCCGTGATTAGCAGAAAATGTCTCCACTAGAAAGGAAAGTTCAAAGCTCTCAAAAGACAGTTGTTCCTAAATAGAGATTGGAAGGATTACTTTCCCCAAGAGATAGCATCCTGCATGTTTTTCTTCCTTAAGATTGAATAAAGTCCCTCCTAATGCTACTGGGCTGGGCACAGAGCAGATGTTACAGGTTTCTCCTTTGTTTGTATTTTCCAGGGGTAAAGAACACTGAAGCATGTAGACAGCTGGCTGTACTGTAAGGGAGAATTATTTTCTACGCGGAAAGCATTCTCAGTTTGAGTTAAAAAAATGTGGATTACACAGAAAGGGTATTCCTCTGCTCTGAAAACTCATTTAAAAATTACCAACTACAGGGGCGCCTGGGTGGCGCAGTCGGTTAAGCGTCCGACTTCAGCCAGGTCACGATCTCGCGGTCCGTGAGTTCGAGCCCCGCGTCGGGCTCTGGGCTGATGGCTCAGAGCCTGGAGCCTGTTTCTGATTCTGTGTCTCCCTCTCTCTCTGCCCCTCCCCCGTTCATGCTCTGTCTCTCTCTGTCCCAAAAAAATAAATAAAAACGTTAAAAAAAAATTAAAAAAAAAAAGGAAATAAACATTTAAAAAAAAAAATTACCAACTACAGTATTGTCTCTCTTTTTTTTTTTTTTTTTTTTTAGCTTGAGTACTTGTATTTGTCTAAGTAGTACCAAAAAATACAGCCTCCTTTTCAAAAATGAAAGTGTTGATAATAGTGCTAATAAATTTTCACTGTATCTCCATCTGGGCCCGTTCAATTCTTCCTCGTTCTTCTCCACCCCCCACCTAGGCTAATCATTATTCATTTTTCTGCAGGACATTTGATTTAAATCTTTAAGATTAAAAAAAATGTCCTATAAATGAGAAAACGATATCATTTTATTACTATGAGCATTTTTCTATGTTTTCTCACTAAATTATCTGTGGACTACCAAACTTCCCATCATGTGGCTTTTTAACATTTTCAGGGATTCTGAACTCATCCTTCTTCTCAGAAGTGGGAGAGTATCAGTGAGGCCCCTTTGCCCTTCTTCAGGCCTCACCCTTGCCCCTGGTTTCTGCAGATCTCAGGACTGGACTCAGCCGACTCCTGTGTCATGTTGCCCACCCTCACCACCCTATGCGTGCTCGACTACTCCCTAGGTGATTCATCAGTGCCCTGTGGCCTGGGCACTGACACAGTATCCAAAAGTAGCCATAATCCATGAAATAAAACGTGAGGACTAGTTCAATGTGTCACGAGATATAGGAAATACCCCCTGCCCTTTTTTTTAAGGAAAGACAGAGTGTGAAAGAGAGAGAGGGACAGAGGGAGAGAGAGAGCAAGAGAGAGAGAGAGAGGGAGAGAATCCCAAGCAGGCTCTGTTCAATCAGCACTGAGCCCAACACGGGGGGCTCGATCTGAAGACCCTGGGATCATGACCTGAGCCAAGATCATGAGTCTGATGCTCAACCGACTGAGCCACCCAGGTGCCCCGGAAATACCCCTTTAAGAGTGTTTCCATGGCATCGTCCCTGGCTCTGCCCTCCTACACTGCATATCCACACATGACCTCCAGGTAGCTAGCTCCCATCCACCACCAGTCCAGAAGCAGAGCTACTGGGAACATAAGAGTCCCAAATTAAAAGGCTGTTTTTTTTTAAAGCCGTATAGGAAGAAAAGTCAAAGAGTCTCAGATATTAAGAAATAGAAACAAATTTTGAAACAAGAGCTGACACAAACTTGCGTCCCACTCCAGCAGGATGAAAGCAGAGACAGAACAGGGGAGCTGGCCCACGGTGGTCTGAGATGTGGACCACCCCTGAAAAATCTCTCCACGCTACCAAGATAAATCATCAAGTACCTTAGCTGGGAGCGATTCAACAGGCATTTATATAATTAAGCTTTAATATTTGCATCCCACACTCACTACACAATCTTCTGATTATAAACTGGACCGCATGTGTGTATGTTTGCTTACAAGAAAAACTGGGCTGTGTGATTTGAAGCATTCTTATTAAAAAGGCATATATTTTTACACATGTGTACGTGTGTGTGTGTGTGTGTGTGTGTGTGTGTGTGTACCAACGTGTACACAGACATATGTATATTCAGCCTTTTTAGCTTGGTTGATATGATTAATTCCTAAATGTGAGTACATTCTCAGTGTGTTGACTTCAAGTTTCTGAGACTATAAATTAAGACTGAGATTCCAGATCGTAGTAAATTCATAACAATAATAAAGACCACCTGGCCTTCCCACTGCTATTTCTTCTTTGAAAGACAAGGAGGCCTAGACCCACATAAACAAGCTCACAAGGAAAAGTAACATCTTACAGGTACTAGTTTCCCACATTCACTCCCCAAAGCAGAGAAAGAGCAGTTGTAAATGAAAAATTCGGGGATACTTGTTCTCCCAATAAACGATGCCAATCCCTACTTTGTTCTTAAACAACACGTGATCAAATTAATAAACACAATAGCTACTGATAGTTGAGATCTCATATTTGAAGTGAAAAATCCACAAGGATGCATGGGTTGGCAGGCGGCCAGTGTTCAAGCAATCCAAAAAACAGGTGGTCAGTATTGTCCCTATTTTATCGACTGAAATATCGAGGCACCGAACATTAAGGATCATGTCCACAGTTTACAGCAAGCCAGAAATAAGAAAGCCAGGGCTGAGGCCAGATGGTGTCCCCAAACCAGTGTTCCTCACAGCTGTGCTGGGGTCCAGCTCTGCAAGTGACCTGGTGGGCGGGGCTCTCCCCTCCAACGCGTGGTCCATTTGGATGCCTTGGCGATTGCCGCAAGGCTTTCGCCTTTAAGTCATGACGTTGACTTCAGGAACTCTATGGCTTTAGTTTGGCCAAATCACCACTTAAAGCATCGTCCCCAGTCCAAATTAACCCAAATTAAACCGAAGCCTGCCTGACCCCCTATTCCCTAAACGCTGTCTAAATGATTACTAATCCCTGCCCCCTTCCTCTTCCATTAACTAATTGGCTTCCTCAATACTGGCTCTTTATGGAATGAGTAACAGATTACTGTGCCACTCAGGCAATGGCCTTGGGCCACGGACCGTCAGAGTCTGCAGTCGTGCAAGTTTTACAAGCCTCCCTTTTACGGTCCTACTGTTCCTTCGTATGCCAAGTGTGCGCCTCCCCCTGCCCTTGGCTTACTCTCCTTTATCTGAGTGGAAACAGAAGCCTCAGTCCATCCGTAACTCATCCTCAATTTCATGGAACCGTCTCCTTTCGTTCCTTTCTGATCCAGTCCTTCATGGCAGTGAAATCCCCTTTTGTACACAGATAAAGCAAAAGGGGCTCTACAGAAACAAGGCACAAAGGACATGGCACAGGGAACACAGTGGCTTTTTAAAACCCTTGGAAAAGCAGACTGGGCTCCACCATTTATGTTATCCCCGGCAGAGCTAGAAATGTGGACAGCCTCGCTTACGCTGATAAAGTGGACCCGACAACTTTATACAACCTGAGTCTTAAGTCCTAGACACTATCCCCCTGATCTCCAATCCCAGGATGAAAATGTAACGTACAAAAACCTAGAGCTATCTTTAAGTCCTGGCTATACCCAAAATTATCCGTTAAGAAAAAAGAAATGTACTTCCATTCACAACTCAAGCACTAGTTAAAGTAATCTCAGCGTCTGCAACTTTTTGGAGCACATCAAGCTCGTCTGATCGCCAGGGTGAAATACTCCTGCTTTCTGTGAAGGATCCAGTATCAACAAACCACAATTAAAACCACAATATCTCTTAGTGATACTATAAAAACATTCCTAATGCTTGAGGTCGATACATACAACGCTATCAATACATGACCTAGTCGACATAAACCATAATATCATAACGAAAGTCATCATTAATCTCATATTAATTATTTTTAAAGTTTTAGCGCTTAACCTGAGCAGCAGAACCCTGCTCTTAATGTCACCTGTGTAACATGGAATAGAAACTCCAACAAATTTTACGCATCTTCCAATGTCACCTATGCCTGTTACCGCCTCAGTAAAGCAACCCACACAAACTAAAAATATATGCAATCATATAGAAATAATGCGCTTCAGGTAAGTTTGAGTCATCTTTCCATTAAAAACAAAGGACTGTACTTCATCAAATCTCAAATCGCTTCAGCCTGACGCTGCAATTTAAAAAGGTGATAACCAATTTTTATTGTAATAAATGACAACTCATCATCAAGTGAGCCAGTCAACATCATAGACCTTTTTTTTTTTTTTTTTAATATTAGCAGGTGAAAAGGAAAATGGACCCAGGATGAATAATTATATAATGACGGATAATGTCTGCAGCAAATGAATATTTGGCTGCTAAGGGCCTCTGGCTTTCATCACAACTGTTAGGAATTTGCATTTCTAAAAAGGGATTAGACTGCTTTATGCTAAGATCCATTTGCCTTAAAAATTATAATTTTCAGAACAAAAGAATTTTTTATTCAGGTTCTCCAAAGATCATTTAGATGGATACATTTTACACTACAATTGTCTTTTCAAGTTTATAGGGATTCAATGTATACTGTAATTAGTTTCTTTATTACAAGTCACCTCTCAAATTACACATTTCAGCATAATGGAAGTCCATTTAATTAACTGTGCTCCTGATGATCATACAGACCCCTGAGTCACTACACTTCACCTCTAGTGGAGGCTAAATTTTAAGGAAAATTTATTTTCCGTTCAGGAAATTTCATTTCATTACAAAATGAAAAGAGAAAGCACTGTAGGTGTGATGTTGAATAGAACTAGAAAATTCTTTGAAAACCTATGAAGCCGTCTTACAAATGTTCTTATACTATGAGGACAGAAAACTAAGGAAGAGAAAAAGAATTGTATGAAAAAACAAACAAACAAACAAACAAACCCTTACTTACCAGGTGTGAAATTGTATCGAGCTGAAAATCCCATAGATTCCAGCTCTCCATCAGCGAAAAATTTAATCCATAGAAATCTTCCACTGGATTTTATTACAGGTGGGTTTTGTTGTCCACAAAAACGTCCAATTATTGGAGAAAATCCGAAAGGTCCATCTCGAACTTCAATATGATCAAATTTGCACTCCCAAGACGGCTCAATAGAGTACTTTTCATCAAAGTAAAGTTCAATGCACTGTCTTGGGGCAGCTGAAAAAAAGGAAAGAGTATGTCTAGGAGGCCGTTTTTTTTTTTGTTTTTTTTTTTAATTTTTTTTTTAACGTTTATTAATTTTTGAGACAGAGACAGAGCATGAACGGGGGAGGGGCAGAGAGAGAGGGAGACACAGAATCAGAAACAGGCTCCAGGCCCTGAGCCATCAGCCCAGAGCCCGATGCGGGGCTCGAACTCACGGACCGCGAGATCGTGACCTGGCTGAAGTCGGACGCTTAACCGACTGCACCACCCAGGCGCCCCAGGAGGCCGTTTTTTAAGTCTTTAGTTTGATTTCTGTGACGCGACTTCCAATTTTATCTGTACATCTTCTATCAAAGTCTGAGTCTGACATCACGGGAGCACAAAGCAAGTCTGTCATAGTTAGCGTTCTAAGGGAAAACGTTCCCGTAAGAATGTCTCAGGGATGCTCCTTAAAATTGATGATGTTGCACAAAATATTATTCAGACACAAAATGACCATTTAGATATCTAACACAGACCCGATGATCACCGTGCTTTTGTGAAAGACCACTACCATCGGGCTTAGTAAACAGAAAGACCTCTTTCTGTCACTTTTCCCATATTTGCCGAAGTATCCAGTTTTGAGGTCAAAAACCACTTAAGAATTGTTCAGCACAGAGTTATCCAAACATTCGAGAAGTCCCAGGGAGATGTATCGATTGCACCCAAGCGCACATACGAAGATATTAAGAGTAGTTTTTCTACAGCACAAACCTTACCACGGCACCCGCAGGTTTAAACTTATTCAGCAACTCTCTATCAGCTACAGGAAAAAGATCAATGCACTTGACATGCAGGACCTTTATGGGTCCTACACTTCACTCCTCCAGGATCCTCCCCTCCAGACACAGTCCAAACTGAGGCCGCTTGAGGCACAGGGTGTTTTCGAAGGCCTCATGCTCTTTCAGACTTTCGTGTATTTTACCACTTTCTGGAGTATCGGTCTCCCAATTTCGCCAACTCCTGTTTGTGTAGGAAACTCTTGCTTTAAAGAACCATCTCTCTAAATCTACTCACGAAAGACAAAAATCTATTCACCTCCGTATTTCGGCACTCAGCACAGTACTTATCATTGAGGATTTCTCAAAAAAAGAAAAAGAAAAAGAAAAAGAAAAAGAAAAAGAAAAAGAAAAAGAAAAAGAAAAGAAAAGAAAAGAAAAGAAAAGAAAAGAAAAGAAAAGAAAAGAAAAGAAAAGAAAAGAAAAGAAAAAAGAAAAAAATACCTCTTTGGGGCAGAAGAGTAAATGAGCTTATCTTCATAATCGTTTTGACAGCTCTCTTAGGAAGAGCCTCAGAGGGCCAGTGGCTCTATAAACCTCTACATGAATGCATTTGCTAGCACCCTTCCATTCCTCCCTTGTCATGTCCAAAACAGCTCAAAATCCTGGCACTCCAGATTGATATTCAGCCAGGATACCCCAGAATGGCCATAACAGTTGTCGAAATATCCGCACATATTTATCCTGGTTAGTAAACAGCTGTTGCCTCGAGTCCTTTGAGTGTTTCCCTGCCATGTGGCCCTCTTCGGGAACCAACACCCTCCAGAAACTTCAAAGTTAAGACCTGGCACAAGGAAGGCCTGATCCCCATGTGGTCGGTAATCATTGCCAACGACTGCTGTCCCCACCACACCAGTTCTTAAATATGTATTGAATATCACCCTTGATGGCTTTAAAATTAAAGCCTTGTGTGCACGGATGTCAAAAATTTATAGAGAACTGAGATACACGATGACTTGGAAATTAGAGACTTACAGAATAAAATATAACCCTGATGATCCCCGAGGATAAAACTGAAGCTCATTTGGTTAAAGGTCAATGCGTGTTATAAGACTCTTCTGGGGATTATTTTTAATCTCCAAAAATGTTTATGAGTCTTTGGACATTGAAAAGAGACATTTACTGCTCTTACCGGCAAAACCAGGGATGATTTTATCTACCACTAACATATATTCGCAAAGGGCAACAAATGTAGTACTACCTAATGACAGATTTGATGAAGTTCCAGTGATTTTTTTTTTTTTAATCTATGAATTGGAAAATATCCTAAGACATCACCTGGAAAACTATGTTTTTTCCCTTCAAGGTTATTAGTTCAATCACAAAAAGGCAAAGGCTAGGGGCGCCTGGGTGGCTCAGTTGGTTAAGCGTCCGACTTTGGCTCAGGTCACGATCTCGCGGTCCGTGAGTTCGAGCCCCGCATCGGGCTCTGGGCTGATGGCTCAGAGCCTGGAGCCTGCTTCCGATTCTGTGTCTCCCTCTCTCTCTGCCCCTCCCCCATTCATGCTCTGTCTCTCTCTGTCTCAAAAATAATAAAATAAACATTAAAAAAAAAAAGGCAAAGGCTTAAGACACTGGACCCATATACGAATTAGCATTCAGTATAACATTTATACCTATTACCATCTTATAGAATGTGCCTGCTGGTTTATTTCCTCTCTGGCAAGCCAATATAAGTTTCCTAAGGAAATAAACAATTTCAGAATATAAGATATTTCCTTTCGATGTGAATAATGTATGGCTAGGGAACCTTAAAGCAAAGAGAGCAGCCCTGTGCTAACTTACTTAATAAAAATCTGTTGATCAACAAATATCCATCTATTTTTCGCTATTAAGAAATGCACGGTCATCGGACACGAATTCACTTACATTTCCTTCATTTTCATCGTCACTTAAGTTCCCTCCAACGTGGATGAACAAACCTCTCAATGTTCCATCAGGACACATACCAGCGTTATGGCTTTCCCTAGGCAGGACTACACGCGGACAGTTCACTTTCCTTTGGTCCATCGTGCAGACGTCAACCACACGCGCTCATATACGAAATCCCACTAACTGAATTTTAGAAGGCAGTAAAATAACGTTTTAAAAAGAAGTATGTCATAGGGGCTCCTGAGTGGTTCAGCCAGTTAAGCGTCCGACTCTTGATATCAGCTCATGTCTTGAACTCAGGGTCCTGAGTTCAAGCCCTGCATTGGGCTCCACACGGGGCATGGAGCCTACTTATAAACAAACAAACAAACAAACAAAGAGCACGTGGTTGTAGTTCAAGACAACGGCTTATGGTGCACGTAAGCCATTGGAAGCTAAGTCCAACTCCCTACACTTATATGTTCTTTCCCTTCAAATCTCTCAATTCACGGCTGCCTTTCTCTGTAACATCTTCTGCAAGTCATCTGGTATGTAAATCGGAAGTTCCTTTTCGAGAAGTCTTACCGTGTCATTGGGCACGGTGAAAACTCTGGGCGCTTTCACCTGAACATAGGTACAGAATATGGCCTCTGATTGGAGGGAATTCTAGGACAACCTGAGATCCATGCGAGGAGTCTTCCTCTCTGTGACTGGGACGCCACCTGTGTTTACCAGAACCTCACCTTACCTCCAGAATCTTAGCCAATCATTTAGCCCTCTCTTGTACTTTCAAGGCACCTTTTCCTACAGAACAGGCTCTTCTTTTCAGAATTAAGTATGACAGTCTGCCCCCGCTGCAAGAAGATGGAGAGACAAAGAAAGTAACTGCCTTTCCACCTTGGGTCCATCAACACCACCCACACCCACACCTCCGTCCGCTGGGAGCCGGCCCCCACGCCTGCTAGGGCATTGAGTGCACACCTCCTAAAGTGTCTCCCTAACAGCGTCTCAGGGGCCTCATGCAATAGATGTGTTCGCTTTTACCTCAGGTTTGTTTGCCGTCACAACTGGCACCTCGGCTTCTCCCTTCTTCCTGAAACGTCACCTGCACTAGGTACTGAGGCCTCTTTCGCCTCGTCTCCGGTCCATCTCCCTGGCTTGTCCTTCGCAGCCTCCCTGTCATCCTTTCCTTTACTCTCCCATCCCTTACACGCTGTTTTTCAGAAGACTATTCTCTTATCTTTTCTGCTCTTTCTAGACCAGTGCTCTGGGGCACTGGCATCCCAATGGAGAGCTATCGCAACATAATGCTACCTGCGGCTCCAGCAAAGACCAATTAAGCCAGAGTTCTTGGGGGCAGACCCGGGCGTCGGTATTTTCTGAAAGATTTAAAAAAGAAAAAAAAAAAACCAGTGCTCCAAATGCTCTCTCTGGATCATTTAATTCATACTAAGAGCCTCAACCACAGTCTATATTTATGACCTCTAAATATCTATTTTCAGCAAAGAGCTCTCCAGTGAGCTGAAAACTCATATACCCAATGTCTTTATGAGGCATCTCCATAAACACCAAAATGGAGCCCATTAATTTTCCTTTAAACACTCCTTCTCTACCCGTATCCTTTACCTCCATCTATATGTCTCCAAGCCAAACACTTTGGAATCGTCCTGGGATTTCCTATCTCCCATCCCTACCTCCAGCCGCTCACAACTCAGTTTCCTAAATACCTCTCATCTCTTCCTTTGGTGCCACAGCCAACGTCACTTGTGCGGGTCAGGCTTTTCCTATGGTTTACGTGGGCTTTCACAATAGTTCCTGCTTGCTTCTTTTCCTTCAATTACTTCCCCCAAAGGGCGGGTTCATTCTCCATGTAATTTATTTCAGTGACATCCCACTGTCTAGAATATTAATGTTCCAACGTCCATGGGTGGAGCCAATGGAGTGCCAAGTTCTCCTTCTCTGAGACCCTCTGCCTCCTGAGCCCCTCTTCACTGCCGCTCCCCTCACCCTACGCAGAAGCCCACGCGATTCTCCCTGTGGGTCCCAATCACACCACATCTCAGCACATCTGCACCTGCCATTCTGTACAGAGAATTCTCTCCTGGAAGTTTTACAAAACTGAGTGAAAACACCTGCTCCCCCTTGTAGCCTCGTCTTCTTTCTCCTATTCCGAACGAACACTGCTAGTTTGGGGGGGTGCCTTCAGATTTTTGACTGGAAGGGGCATGGTCACCAGACCATATTATAAGTTCCACAGGCAAGAACCGTGGTTGTTTTGTTAAAGGCTCTCTACACTGTGCCTAGAAGAGTGGCTACTTCTTAGTAGTTGTTCAAAAAATATCTGTTAAATAAATGCATGGACAGAAAACCATGGCTAGGATAGAGTACTTCAAAAAGGGTGTAGAAATATAACCAATAGCCACGGGAGCTTCTATCCACTTCCCAACTGTAAGTTTTGTCCTTGACATAACTAGGAATGAATGTGACTATGTGCATGAGATTGAAATGCGAGCAATGTTTTTTAATAGGCATGAAAGCACAATTAATACGCGAAACTTTCCCTCTGAATTAATCCTTTAAATGAGAGAAGTCATTGATTTTATTCTTTTTAACAATTCGAAGTTTTAAAATACTGACTCTTCAAAACACGAGTTAGGTGAATTTAACCAAGACATTTAACCCCTCTGCGCCTGTTTCCTTGTCTATAAAATGAGGACAAAAAAAAAAACAATACTTACTCCCTAGGATTAAATGTTTTACCCTATGATAAGGTCTTTGAAAATTTTATATACATATCTATGCATACATGCACATATACACATAATAGATAGGTAATACTAACTTGATAAAGGGAACAACGAAGTCTAACCCAGAATTTCCATATTTCAATTTCCTTTTCTATCAATCATCTGAGGAATAAAACTGCCAGAGCCAAGATTTCTCAGCTTCAGCCTTTATGATCAGAGCTGAGTCTCTTTCCTTCTTCGTGGAGTGCACTGTATCTTTGCTAAAAGTTCAACCTCACGCACAAAAAGGAGGAGGGCAATATCCTTAGCTTAAAAGTTACAAAAAGATAAAAGAATCATTTCTAGATAGAAGTTCTTTTTTTTTTATTTTTTAACGTTTATTTATTTTTGAGACAGAGAGAGACAGAGCATGAGCAGGGGAGGGTCAGAGAGAGGGAAACACAGAATCTGAAACAGGCTCCAGGCTCTGAGCTGTCAGCACAGAGCCCGACGCGGGGCTCGAACTCATGACCTGAGCCGAAGTCGGCCGCTTAACCGACTCAGCCACCCAGATGCCCCTCTAGATAGAAGTTCTTGAAAGCGGTTAAACAGAAAGCCTCTTCTTTGAAACATCTACCAAATGAACATGCCCCTCATTTAGAAGCAGATATTGAACATAAACTGTCTTTTTTTATTAAGGTAGACCAATCTGTCTGTGCCTGTGTGGGCGGGAAGGGTTGCGGGTTTGGGGCTATTAGGTATTTACACTTGTGATGTTGAAATCTTCATCACGAGATGAAATGATCATTTATTTTAGAAAGCTGTACTTAATCGAGTGGTGTCTACAAGGGTAATGGAAATTGGAAATGTTCGAAGAGAAATGAATCTCTTTTTCAGCACTATTTATCTTTTGAGTCAGGATAGAGAATGATGAGAAGAAGCATCATAATTCGGAATCCTGACTTTGGCATTAAAGTATGATAATGTCACTTGTTAGCACAAATTAAGGCAACTATCATTCAGATTGTTTGGGACCATGATTATAGATTTATTTTTGACATAAATATCTTTTTTTGTACTTTATTAACGAAACACTAACAACTGTACAGGTTATTCTACTAACTGTTAGCCAATGAAATACTAGTTTCCAAAACCATTGTACGTTAGGCAATATTATGCCAACCTGTGCCTCCATTCCACTAATTTAGAATTCTGGATCAATTAAACCAACTGCAAAATTAACTGTTATTGATTTGCTTTTATTTGCCAGACTCTACTTATCTTAACCCATTACTAATAATTTCAATAATTAGCTTGATTCCACATTTTACAGTTTCTTGATTCTTGAAGAGATATTTATGTGCATGGTCTCGAAAATCAATCTTTGTGATGTCTTGGGGCATTCTGTCTGCCCAAAGCATAGAGATGGCCAGGTCTGGCTCAGAGCTCTCCCCAGCCCTGATTCTTTGCCCCTTACCTTCTATGATGTAGATGCACTCTCGGTCAGGGGGGTACTTGCTGGGGTAGTTGGGAGAGGTAAAAATACCTCCCTCTGCATGTTTTGTCCAAGTCCCACACTGCACTGACTTCTGAGTTTCTGAGGTGGTTTGCTTCTCTGTAAAAAATGAAAACAAGAGGCATCATCCAATTTTCTATAAGACTAAAAATAGAGAGGACATTCTTATAGTATCCATTAGTGAATTACTTTTGAAATGTTGTCTTAGTCAAAATCAATCAATTAGACACACTATAAAATGTTCAGATATTCTGGAATATTAAGAATATGAGAAGAATAGGGAAACATAAATAACTAGAGGTCCTCCACTGCGTTTACCCCCAAAAACACACCTGTTCCTTTCTTGGTCGCCCCAGACAAATGGAAGATGATTAAACTTGCTACAACTGAAACAGAAAAGAAAAACGAGAAAGAGATCATATTAATATACACTGACATGATCATATTCGATAACACCAGAAAGCTCAAATAATATCAAAGCATATTAAGTTTATTACTGCTCACTGTTCCAAGCTAACTCAGAACATGCCCCAACTGGTTACAAATGTACAAGTCAGGACAATTAGTGCCCAGAACTGATGCAAGTTAAGACTGGATGGGACCTGAACTGCAAATGTGCACCTCAAGACTTCGGAGGGGATGCTGTCATCTACTAATGCCACATTACAGTAGGATTTCAGGACCCGCATTGTGTCCAGACTGCCCTTCAAGAATGGCTTTGCTAGCATCTCTGAAGGAAGAGCGTAAGCCAGGGGAAAGTCTGAAAAGGCAAACAATGAGGACCAAGAGGAACCAGAACGCACTGCCAGTGTTGTTGTATTTTAGAAAATAAATACTCAGGCGAATCTTATGCAGGTGGGGGAGGGGCACAGGAGAAAACCGATGAATGTGAATTGGAGGCACTGGGCAGCAGGATAAACACGTTTCTTATAAAAAGGTACTGTCCCATCAAGTAACCCCTGTCCTCAGCATTTTCTAAGTGAAGAAATTAATTCCTTCTGACCTTCACGTTGACTTAATATTTGGTATTACCCAGAAATAGATTCTTACTTTGAGAAAGGTGACTTCTAGAAGCATTTTATTGAGCCTATTTTTCGGTTTTATTTACTGCAACAAGAGTAAATCTGCAAAGGACCATTTGAAACCTGAACTTCTGTTTTACTGGCACATCTTGAGTGGCTCAACATTTTTGTAAAACCGGAAGCTAGAAAAGTAATGAAACAATCTGGTCCTCATAAGGTCTGCTTTTTCCTCTTCTACTTCATCGTTGTTATTTATTTTCTGTCCAGTTGCCTAAAATCTCTAAGTTCCATTAGGTGTATAATCGCATCTCCGCTTAAAAATGAATTGGGGGAAGGGAGAGTATCATTCACAGCGATTTCCTAAACCGAAGCACGCTGGCAGGGGCTTACAAATTTACGTTTTAAGATTATTCCAGGAAAAGCAGTAGGCCTTTTTATTAGTATTTGAGAAAGTACATCAATTTTATCACTTTGTGCTTCTGCCTGGTCATCTTTTAGACTGAAACATTAGTTGTTGTCTGTTTAAACAGAAAAGAATATAGATAGATAGATAGACTCTCTTATTTTAACTTGCCATGATTCTATACACACGCAGACACGCAGGTGCAGAGCCATCAATATCAGGCTGTACGCGCCCTGTGTCTTTACTTTGCTTTTCCTGTTGTGGTGGAATCACACGTTGGAGCAAGTACTATGCCTAACGCGTCCACAAAGCCGGGCTTTTAACTGCGTGGCACACGATTCGCACCGGAATCCTTGCTTTTTAATAACAAATTCCCACCCCACGTTTTTCTCCTATCGCCGTTTGCTGCATGCCTTCCGAGGCCATTTTCCCCTCCACTGCACGAGCTACCCCGAGAACGCACCCGGAGAGGTCTTGGGGGCCACAGGAGTTGAGGCTGGCACTCTCCCTCCCCGCAAGCGCCGCGTTCAGGTGCACCGTGCACTACCTCCTGGAGTGGAAACGTGGGCCCGCGGAGCTCCAGAAGCCCCGGGAAGAGGGCGATTCCCTGCATCCCCCCCCCCCGGGTGGCAGC